AGGGCTGGGCTGCAGGAGACCAGGGCTCTGGGGCACTCCTGGGTGGCTTTTCCCCAGAGCACAGGCCAGGATCAGAGCTGGCTGCTGCCTCGGGATGTGTCTGTGCTGGACAGAGTCCAGAGGGGGCCATGGAGCTGCTCCAGGGCTGGAGCCAGGCTGGGAGAGCTGGGGGTGCTCACCTGGAGAGGAGAAGCTCCAGGGAGAGCTCAGAGCCCCTGGCAGGGCCTGAAGGGGCTCCAGGAGAGCTGGAGAGGGACTGGGGACAAGGATGGAGGGACAGGACACAGGGAATGGCTTCAGTCTGACAGACAGTGGGGTTAGGTGGGGTTTAGGGAAGGAATTTTTCTCTATGAAGGTGGGCAGGCCCTGGCACAGGGTGCCCACCCTGCATCCCTGGCAGTGCCCAAGGCCAGGCTGGACAGGGCTGGGAGCACCTGGGACAGTGGGAGGTGTCCCTGCCATGGCAGGGGTGCAAGGAAATGACCTCCAAGGTCCCTTCCAGCCCAGAGCAATCCATGATTCCGTGTGTGGGGCTGATTATGGGGCTGGAGATGCTTCCAAGGGCAGGACACAGGCAGTGCAGGCTGCTGGACCAGCTTGGACAGTTTGCCTTTGGAATCCTGAAGGCAGAATCCACCTCCTGCCCTGGCTCAGAGGGAGCAGGAGCCAGCCAGGGCTGCCCTGGCTGTGACCTCTGAGCACACCAGGGCTGTGCCTGCCCTTGGGGCACCCACTGCTCCAGGGCTGTGCCCTGCCTGTCACCCTGCCCTGGGTGACAGCTCTGGTGGCAGCACTGCTCAGGGGCTGGGCAGGGGAGCAGCCTCCTGTCCTGTTTTCAGCCACAGGAGCCTTGGGCTGACCTGGGACAAGGACACACCTGTGCTGCCCTGCTCTGTCCCTGTGCCCTGCTGTGCCCACAGCACAGCTTGCCTGGGCGATGCCAGCATGGTGTGGGGGCCCTGGGGACCTGGCAGGGAGGGCTGGAATGTGGCTGGGAGCTGCTGTGGCCTGGCTGAGCCCTGTCCTTGCTGCCAGCATCCCACCCAGCCCTGTACCCAGCTCAGTGTGGGGTTTGGGTGCCCAGAGCCCTCTGTGTGCCCCCTGGAGCTGCTGTGGCCTGGCTGAATCCTGTCCTTGCTGTGTCCTTGCCATCCCACCCTGTACCCAGCCTGGTTTGGGGTTTGGGTGCCCTCTGTGTGCCCTCTGGGCTGTGCAGCCCCTTCATGTCCCCCCTGCTGGAGCCACCACGTGTGCCTGAGTCACAGAGAGGCAGGAGGGGAGCTGGGGGCTGGGGACAGAGCAGCTCTGTCACCAGAGGTGCTGACACAGGGATCCTGCCCAGCCAGGCGTTGGTGCTGCCGCTGCTCTTGGAACCCCACAGTGGCTTCCCCCTGCCAGGAGCCAGCCCAGGGACGTGCCAGGACCTGTGCCAGCCCCTCTGGGTGTGCCAGGGATGGGCTGGTGCCAGGGGGAGGGTGTGGGGCTGGTCCCAGAGCAAACAGGGGTGTTGGGAAAGCACTGGGGTGGGTGGGTGGCTGGGGACACCCTGCCCTGGGAGCTCCCTGTGGGTGCTCCTGTTTGCCAAAGGGCTTCGTGGGTGTCTGAGCCCACAGCCAGGTGGTGTTGGCTGCAGGGGTTCCCCTCCTCTGCCATGACAGGTGACAGTCAAGGGGGCTGTGTCCCCTGTCCCCAGATCCCTCCAGCTCTTGGCTGGATGTCCAGCCAAAGCTGCTCATGGAGGGACAGCCACTCGTGGGTGGCTTTGGTCACAGAGCTGGAGCACAGAATGCTCTGTACAGCCCTCAGTGCTCCCTTGTGCTGGCAGGGAATGCTCTGCACAGCCCCCAGCTCTTTGGGGAGGCTTTGCTCAGCCTGATGAAGGAGCCAGGGGGCGGCTGAGGCACTTCCTGAGGGTGACACATCAGCCCTGCCAGATGTGAGGGGTCAGGCCACCCTCTGGCATGGGCAGCATGGGCACCCCCCTCTGCTCAGGCACAGCCCTCCACTCTTATGTCACCCCCAGGGGTCCATGTCCCTCTTGCCCCCCCTGGGTTTGCCACCAGGGCTACCAGGCAGGGAGCACCAGTGGCCCCCAGCATCCCCCAGCACCCTGGAGCATCCTGCTGAGCCTGGGGAGATTTAGTCACCTCGGATGTTTGACTGCAAGTCTTGTTCCAACCTCTGCAAATAATTGACTTTTGCTTTTCCATGTGCTTAAACCCTCCTAATTGGCCCTGCTGTTAATCAGGGAAGAATGAGTGACTAAGCTGTCTCGCCTGCCCGGGGACCGGGGGCTCCTTTTTTTCCCATGGACTGAAAGGAAATGAAACCTCAGAATGTCCTTTTCAATCTCAGCTCTCTGCATGGCTGCCCAGAGCCCTGGCCAGAATCACACAGCCTGGGAGACAGGAATTGCAACAGAGGTGCTATGTGGAGGCCAGGAGGAGAGGCCAAAACCCAGGCTGAGGAATTCTGTGCTGGGATGAGCTGGGATGTCTCATCCTTTGCTGTGATTTGTCCCATTTTGGGGGTTTCACCCTGGCCCAGCATGCTGCTGGTCTGTGGTTTGCTCCTGTGGCTGGCAGTGCTGGCATCTCCTCAGGGATGGGTTTATCCCTCCCTGGGCAGCATTTTCCTCTGGAGCTGCTCATCCCATGGGGATTTGCAGCACCCTGCAGCAAAGCTGCTCCTTGTGCTGCCTTGGCTGCCAGCACAGCTCCGGGCTGGCTCCTGCTACAGATTTTGGCTCCTGCTGCAGATTTTGGCTGCTGCTGGAGGTTTTGGCTCCTGCTGGAGGTTTTGGCTCCTGTTGGAGGTTTTGGCTGCTGCCAGGCTGTGCCAAGCCGGTGTGGGGGCTGTTTTGTCTGTTTTGTCTGGGTTTGTGCCCCCAGCCTCGTGCTGGCTCCAGCACTGGGATGCAGGGCCAGGATCCATCCTCCCCGCGCCCATCGCCAGCACTCCGGCCAAGCCTGAGCTGTCAGAAATTGTTGGAGGAGACTCAAATTCTTCATTTTTCACAGGCTCTGGGGCAAAGTTGACTGGGGAGTTCAAAGTCGAGGCTCTGTGTGCCAAAAGCAGCTCGGGGGGGAGTTGTTTCTGCAGCCTTGGGATGCTTCAGGATGGGGTTTGGTGTGGGACCCCCGTGTGGGGTTGGGGCAGGGGTGGGGAGGTGCTGGGGGGGCTCAGGGTGCCCAAGGGGCTCCTCTGGCCACATTGGGGCTGGCAAAGCCCCATCCCTGCTGCTGGGGGTGGTTTTGCAGTGTGCCCCCACCCCCTGCATCCAGGGGCTGCATCCAGGGGCTGCCTGTGGGATGGAGGGGATCTCCTCCAGTGTGGGGTGCAGGGGGATGCCTGGCAGCTCAGGTTCTCCCAGCACCTTGGACTCATCCCAGATTGGAGTTTGGGGTCCTGATGGGGGTCCCTGCCTCAGGTGGGTGAGTGTGGGAGGTCCAGGCTGTCCTTTCCCCTCAGCCCAACCCCAATCCCAGCCCTGCTGCAGCCCAGGCTGGGAGCCCTTTGTGGGATGGCCCTTGTGGGGCACAGTGGGGTCAGGGGGGTGTCAGTGATGTTTGGGCTGGGGAATGGGGGGGCTCACCCCAACCCCAGCCAGCTGAGGTGGCCAGAGCAGGGCCAGGAGCTGCACAAGGCACAGGAAGCCCCCGGCACGGCCGGAATCAGCTCAATGTCAGGAATTTCCTGCTGGGGAGAGGAATCCATGAAATTAATGTGAAAGGCCAAAAAAAGAGATCATCCTGACCCTGAATCAGGCTCTGGGCTGCTCAGGGAGGGCAGGAGGCAGCGAGTTCTGCCTTGGTCCCTGCACCAAAGGCTGTAGCAGCATTGTGGGTAAACCAGGACTCTTGAATAATTGATTAATATGATTAAGTAGAAGTTGTTTATTGTTTATATTACATACACTTTTATATTACATACACTTTTACAGATTTTATAAATCTACACTTCTTGATTGGTGTTTTCATTCTGTTCTTTTGTTTTCTGCCTTCATTTTTTAGTGTTTGTGATTGGTTACTGTGTAGGTGTTCTACAGTCTTCTGTTATTTTGTTCTTGTGATCTTGGTATGCAGTCTCTCAGCTTCTTTTTTCTTATTTTAGTACAGTTGATGTTTCAGTAACTTTGATGAATTTTAGGGTGCTTTGAGAAAATTCTAAGAACAGTTACAGACAGTGTGGCTGGTGCACACTGAGGCTTAAGCTGTTCAGATATATTTTTATATTCCAGCAGGCAGGAGGGTGGCTGGGGAGGAGTCTGGTTGGGCTCTGAGGGGCTCAGGGCCCAAACCCAGCCCCTGCCTGACGTGGCTGTGCTGTCCCATTGCAGATGTGAAAAGTGCCTATTATATGGCCCTATGCAGATATTTACTATATGTATTATGTTCTATTGATTAGTAGTTGTATTAACATTTTAATAGTATGGTAAATGTAGTTTTGTAGTTCAAATGTAACTTTTGTAGTTAAAATAGAAACTACGTATGTGGGATATTTTTTTAAAGAAAGGAATGAGGTACTCACACTGAGATAGCAGCCACAGGACACCTGAATCTTTCAGAGAGAGAGAATTTATTGCTCAATTATCAAAAGAAACGAACTTCTTCTGACCTTGCTCTGCCATGAAGAGCCATCAGGATTAAGAGGAAGAAGTTGGCTCTGACCAGACAGAATCCTGTGTTTGAATGGAATGTATGCATCATGGATGAGGTGTATGAATATGCAACAGGCTGTTGTTTTTAAGGGTTAATCCTATGTTAATGGGGGTCCTTTTTCGGGCTTATTTTGCCCAGAAAGAGATACCTGGACTGTCTGTAACTCTTTGTTTTTATTGTTTCATATTGTCCTAATCTCAATTTTTATTACTCTAAATTATTACTCTAATTATCACTCTACTCAAATTTTTATTACTCTAATTATATTACTATTTTTATAACCATTTTATTACTATTAAACTTTTAAAATTTTCTTTTTTTTTGTCGTTTTTCCCACAGAAAGGACAGGGAAGGTGCTGGGCGAGTTCTGCCGCTGCTACAAGGAGCAGTTTGGGGTCGCTCTCTTCAACAGCGTCCGCTATGAGATCGAGGGCGCCGGGGGCCCGCAGGCCCAGCTGCTGCACCGCAAGGTGAGGGCTCCTCCCTGTCCCTGTCCCTGTCCTGTCCCTGTCCCTGTCCCTGTCCCTGTCCCTGTCCCTGTCCTGTCCCTGTCCCTGTCCATCCCCAGCTCCCTGTGCTCACCACAGCAAGGTGAGGGTTCATCCCTGTCCCTGTCCCTGTCCCTTTCCCTCCCCAGCTCCCTGTGCTCACCACAGCAAGGTGAGGGCTCATCCCAGCTCCCTGTGCTTCCCACTGCAAGGTGAGGGCTCCATCCCAGCTCCCTGTGCTTCTCCAGCAAGGTGAGGGCTCATCCCTGTCCCTGTCCCTGTCCCTCCCCAGCTACCTGTGCTCACCACAGCAAGGTGAGGGCTCATCCCAGCTCCCTGTGCTTCCCACTGCAAGGTGAGGGCTCCATCTCCATCCCCAGCTCCCTGTGCTTCCACAGCAGGGTGAGGGCTCCATCCCAGCTCCCTGTGCTTCCCCAGCAGGGTGAGGCCTCCATCCCCAGCTCCCTGTGCTCACCACAGCAGGGTGAGGGCTCATCCCAGCTCCCTGTGCTTCCCCAGCAAGGTGAGGGCTCCATCCCCAGCTCCCTGTGCTCACCACAGCAAGGTGAGGGCTCATCCCAGCTCCCTGTGCTTCCCCAGCAAGGTGAGGGCTCATCCCAGCTCCCTGTGCTTCCCACTGCAAGGCAAGGCCTCCCTGTCCTTCCCACTGCAAGGACAGAACCCTCAGCAGCATAAGGCCTCCATCCCCAGCTCCCTGTCCTTCCCATAGCAGGGTAAGGGCTCCCAGTCCTTCCCACAGAAAGGTAAGGGCTCCAGGCCTCCATCCCCAGCTCCCTGTCCTTCCCACAGCCTTGACAAGGTAAGGGCTCCCTCCCCAGCTCCCTGTTTTTCCTACATCAAGGTAAGGGCTCCCTCCCCAGCTCCCTGTCCTTCTCACAGCAAGGTAAGGCCTCCATCTCCATCCCCAGCTCCCTGTCCTTCCCATAGCAGGGTAAGGGCTCCCAGTCCTTCCCACAGAAAGGTAAGGGCACCAGGCCTCCATCCCCAGCTCCCTGTCCTTCCCACAGCCCTGACAAGGTAAGGGCTCCCTCCCCAGCTCCCTGTCCCTCCCACAACCGGGTGAGGGCTCCATCCCAGCTCCCAGTCCTTCCCACCACAAGGTAAGGCCTCCATCTCCATCCCCAGCTCCCTGTCCTTCCCACAGCCCTGGTAACTGATTCTGGAGTCACTTTAGGGGGGCTCATTCCCCTTGGGTCAGTCACTGCTGGGGACTCCCCAGAGCTGGCACCTCCTGTCTGTCCCTCTCCCTGCTGCTGGCCCTGGGGCTCAGGTTCTCCTCGCTCCTGTGCTGCTGGCCCAGCCCGTCCTGGGGCCACTCCAGGGCTCCCTGGTTTGTCCCACGCCATGGAGGGGCACACAGCAGGGTCAGCTGTGTGCATGCCAGTCTGTGCTCCATGCCAGGGCTGCAGGAGCTCAGGGACCCCTCAGTGCCCCCCTGAGCAGATGTGCCAGGCAGTGTCCCCCTGCTCCTGGGTGTGAGTGCTGCTCCCACCTGGGCACATCCCTAGGGAGGAGCAGGAAGCCCCTGGCAGGTGATCCCAGAGGTGGCTCTGGGTCTGATCTGCAGCAGCCATCTGAAAGACCAACAAGATAAAACAGCAATGAGAATATGGAATAAACACATCTGCTTCTGGCCTCTCCAACAATCCAGAGCTCCTGAAAAATCCTCCCTGACACCCTCTGCCCCTGGTCCTCTGACAGGGATTTGGGCACCCCAGGGGCTCCCACAGCCTGGCCCACACCTGCCTGTCCCAAATATTTCCTGGGGCTGGGAGGAGCCCCCTGGGTGCCTCCCTGGGGTGGGGAGGGTGTGTGAGGAGGGGACAGCTGTGCTGGGGCTCCCAGGGTGCTGGTGGCTCCCCAGGGTCCCCAGAGCCGTGTCAGGGCTCAGCCTGGGTTTTATTCCATCAGCAGCTGGTCTGCCACGTGTCTCCTGCCTGGCTAAAGGGATGGGATTGGTGCTGTGGCTCTGTGGGATCCTGCCTTCCCCTCTTCCCCAAGGCAGATCAGCTCAGCTGGGGCTGCTCACAAGCTGACATGGCTTGGGGAGCTCCCTGGGCTGGTTTTCTTGGGGTCCTGCCTGGCCAGGTTGGTGGAGCTGCTGTCCTTGAAAGCAGCAAGAGATGTGATTGCACATGGCCACGGGCTGCTGCTTTTGTCTGGGCCTTAAAGGGGTGGCTCTGCTCAGGAATCTGGGCAATGCCTCCCTGAGCTCAGCCTCCAGCCCTGGCTGCTCACAGAGGCCGTGTCCCTGACCCACCCATGGAGGTGACACCTTGTCCAGGCACTGGGACACGTCCCATCTCCTCAGGGACCTGCCTGGGCCTGGGTGTGTTAGAAAAAACAAAGGAGTGGAGGTTCCTGGTGTCCTCAGCACCCTTGGGTGCCTCAGATGCCTTCAGCTCCCCCCGGGAGGTGCCTCCATCCCCAGGTTGGTTGCTTCATCCAAAAGCTCCAGCAAGCAGCCCAGGAATGTCTGAGGGACAGCAGCAGGGTCAGGAGGTCAGGGACACAGCAAGTCTTGGAAAAACCCCGTGTAGAAATAGGAATTCCTCCTGCTCAGTGTCCTGTCTGCTGCCCAGCCCCTCCCAGGGTCCTGGCAGTGCCACTGGGACATGTCCCATGTGCTGCCCAGCCTGTCACAGGGTCCTGGCAGTGCCACTGGGACATGTCCCATGTGCTGCCCAGCCTGTCACAGGGTCCTGGCAGTGCCACTGGGACATGTCCCATGTGCTGCCCAGCCTGTCCCAGGGTCCTGGCAGTGCCTGCTGGGGCAGAGTGGGATCCAAGCCCTGGCTGGTCCCTCCTGGAGGCCACCATGGTGGAGGGTGGGTGGCCTCAGCAGAGGAGGTGGTTGCTGCACGCTCCAGCCCTCACGAGAGCTCTCAGCTCTTGTTTATGTTCCTGGGATCATAAAAATTCCTGGGACAAATTGTTGGCTCCCTCAGGCAGGCTGTGTTTGGGATGGTTGGCCAGCTCCAACTGCTGGCCAAAAGGTGCTGGAGAGCTGGGGAGGGGCTGCACAGCCTGGGGGGCACGGGGTGTCCTTGGCCTGGTCCTGGCATGGAATCCTGGCATGGAATCATGGAATGTTTGGGTTGGAAGGGACATTAAAGCCCATCCCATCCCACCCCTGCCATGGCAGGGACACCTCCCACTGTCCCAGGTGCTCCCAGCCCTGTCCAGCCTGGCCTTGGGCACTGCCAGGGATCCAGGGGCAGCCCCAGCTGCTCTGGGCACCTGTGCCAGGGCCTGCCCACCCTCACAGGGAACAATTCCTTCCCAAAATCCACTAAAAATCTCTCCTAGTTTAAAAAAGCTGTCACTGGTCCTATTGAGGTCCAGAACATCTAAACATCATCGGTGCTGGGCTCTCTGTGGTGGCTTCTTGCTTTTCCACTGTCCTGTCCCATCAGAAGACCCTGCTGGGCAGGGTTTGGTTCCTGCCACCTGCAGATGCCCCTGGCAGGACCTTCTGGCAGCAGTGGCACACAGCCTCCCCCTGCCCCAAGGCAGGGAAATTCCAGCTGGGGCTGGGAAGAGCTGCTGGAGAGCTCAGCTCCAACCTTCAACTCAGCCAGGGGAGCTGGAGGGGTCAGCTGAGCTCAGTGTGTCCCTGGGGGAGATGCCAGGGACAGAGGTGTCACCACACTGACCAGAGGTGTCATCACGTGCTGGATGAGCCACCCCTCAAAGCTTTTCTAGGGCTGTGCCTGTGGTGCCCCTGAAGGCATCTCCCAAATGCACCAATTCAGGCACCAAAATTTGTGCTGCTGTGGGAGGTGATGCAGTGGAGACCCTCAGCACGGCCCTGGAGAAGCAACACCCACCCAGACCACCATGGATGGACCTCACTGAGCTGCCCAGGGCAGAGCTGTGCCCTCCCTGATCCCCTGTTGTCTCAGTTTGAAAAGCCAGGTGTCTGCTAAAGAGGGCAGGAGCCTCCCCTGAAATGGAAAATGTAAACCCTCTCCTTCTGAATTATTATAAATTTGAAATTAAGGGGCTCTCAGGCAAAGATATGGGAGCAGGAGTAACAGTTCTTTACTAGGAAAATTAAAATACAAATGAAATAGCACAAAAAACCCCCAAACCATTGCCAGAGTCAGAGCAGTCCCTGTCCCCCTGTGTGTCAGGGGGGTGGCACAGCCCCATCCCATGGGGGCTCAGCCCTCCTGCAGTGCCAGCTGTGGCTCTGCTGGAGCAGGGATCCTGCACAAGGGGGGAGTTTTCCTCTGCAGCTCCAGGGCTGCTGGAGATGGGCCTGGGCTCCCTCTGGCCATGCAGGGCAGCAGAAGCTGCTCCTCTGGCAATGCACTGGGCAAAGGCTGCTGGGCTGTGCCAGGCTCACATTGGATCCAGGTAGGAATGCTTGGCTCCTGCCCTGGGCAATGCAGCATCTCCCCATGGGATGCTGGAATTGGATCAGCCCTGCAGGGACACTCAGTGGCCATGGACAGCAGAGATCTCCTGCAGGGAGGATTGGCTGGGGGAGAGATCAAGAAAAAACTGCCCCATGGACAGCAGAGAACTGCCCCAGCTCTGACAGTGGTGACAGAACACACATTGCTTGGCAGTCTGGGACACCTGTGCTGTCCCCTCCCTGCAGGTTCCACTGGAGGACCACGTCATCTACTCAGGCAACATCTTCCAGTACATCGAGGAGAACAAGAAGTGGAGGAATCGCTTCTGCGTGGTGCCCCACAACTACGGGCTGGTCCTCTACGAGAACAAACTGGTGAGGACAGCCCCCCTTTCATCCCCCTCCAGAGGGGTCATTCCCCAGGGGACACCCCACCCATGACCATTTCTCCTGCTCAGGCCTATGAGCGGGAGCAGCAGCCCCGGGTGTTGGTCAACAGCGCTGGCTACAAGGTCCTCACCTCCGTGGAGCAGTACCTGGAGCTGGTCAACAACAGCCTGCCTGGTGAGGGCCCTCGTGGGCACCTTTGTGGGGGTTTGGGGGTGTAATCCCTGAGGGACTTCAGAAAGGAATGATTGTGGGGTGTTGTATCCTCGGGAACCTTCAGAAAAGGGTGATTGTGGGGTGTAGCATTCCTGGGAACCTACTGGCAAGTGTGAGTTTGAGGGGTAGCATTCCTGAGGACCTTCTAGAAAAGGTGGGTTTGGAGTATAGGATCCCTGAGGATCTTTTAGAAAAGGTTTGGGGTGTAGCATCCTTAAAGACCTTCTAGAATGGGCAGATTTGGGGTGTAGCATCACTAGGAACCTACTGGAAATTGTGGGGTGTAGCATTCCTGAGAACCTTCAGAAAAGGGTGATTTTGGGGTGTTATATCCCTGGAACCTTCCAAAAAGGTGGGTTTGGGGTGTAGCATCCTTAAAGACCTTCTGGAAGGGGTTTGGGGCATAAGATCCCTGAGGGCCTTCACTAAAGGGTGATTTTGTGGTGTTACATCCCTTGGAACCTTCTAGAAAAGGTGGGTTTAGGGTGTGGCATCCTTAAAGACCTTCTAGATGTGGCAGATTTGAGGTGTAGCATCCCTGGGAACCTACTGGAAAGGGTGAGTTTGGGGTGTTATATCACTGGAAACCTTCCAGAAAAGGTGGGCTTAGGCTGGAGCATCCTTAAAGACCTTCTAGAAGGGGTAGTTTTAGGATGTAGCATCCCTAAGGACCTTCAGAAAAGGGTGATTTGGGGTGGTAGCATCCCTGAGGACCTTTTGGAAAGGGGGGATGTTGGGATGTACCCTTGAAGAACCTCTGGAAGGGGTAGGTTTGGGTGTGGCATTCCTGGGGACCTTTGGGAAGAGGCTGTTTTAGGGTGCAGCATCCCAGGGATGCTGGAAGGGATCATTTGAGGGTGTAGAATCCCTGAGGGGCTGCTGGAAAAAGTGGGGTTTGGGTGTAGCACCCTTGAAGACCTTCAGGGATGGGGTTTTTGGGGATAATTTTTTGTTGTTTTTTGGTTTTTTTTCTGGGCAGTGAGTGGGGTTGTAGGGAAGGAGAACAGCCCTGACCCCAGAGTGGGGTGTGGGATTTGCTCAGGTCCTGTCACAGCCACCAGGGAGGGAGGGAGAGAGGAAAGGAGGAAGGAAGGAAGGAAGGAAGGAAGGAAGGAAGGAAGGAAGGAAGGAAGGAAGGAAGGAAGGAAGGAAGGAAGGAAGGAAGGAAGGAAGGAAGGAAGGAAGGAAGGAAGGAAGGAAGGAAGGAAGGAAGGAAGGAAGGAAGGAAGGAAGGAAGGAAGGAAGGAAGGAAGGAAGGAAGGAAGGAAGGAAGGAAGGAAGGAAGGAAGGAAGGAAGGAAGGAAGGAAGGAAGGAAGGAAGGAAGGAAGGAAGGAAGGAAGGAAGGAAGGAAGGAAGGAAGGAAGGAAGGAAGGAAGGAAGGAAGGAAGGAAGGAAACAGGAAAATATGAAAGAAAATAATAGGAAGGAAAATAATAGGAAGTAAAATGTGTCCATGACTGTGTCAACCACATGATTTTTAATTACTTTTAACTTTAATTTTCAATTTTCATCCTGATCTCCTTTTTGGGAAAATGAAGCTCTTTGTGCATTTTTTTTAGAACAGCTCCCAGGAAAGGCCTGGGAAGGAGCTGCAGGGTCTGTGTGAATCCTGCAGCTTCCCCCTCCCTGTCCGTCCCCCTCTCCCTCTGAATCCACCCCCGCTTTTCCACAGGTGTGACACCGAAATCTGGGCACTCTCCCATCCTGAAGTGCCCCACGGATTTCCCCCTGGTGCTGTGGCACCCCTATGCCAGGCACTACTATTTCTGTGTGATGACGGGCAAGGAGCAGGAGAAGTGGCGGGCGGTGTTCCAGGACTGCGTGCGGCACTGCAACAACGGTGGGTGACACCTGGGGACACTGCAGCCACCTCCTGCTCCACACAGGCACCTGCAGAGGCCAGCCTGGGGCTCTGGGGAGAGGGGATGCTTTGCAGCTCGTGAGGAGTTGGGTGGGAGTTGTTGAGGGACTTTGGAGAAGGGAAGTGTAGCCACGTTTCTCTTTACAGAGAAAAGCAAGGCATGATTCTTCCCAAGAATATTTCTGGGTTTTGCATTCTCTGTGAACTCCACATTCTCTGGGTTTTCTTTCTCAGAGAAAGGAAAAAGCCAGAAATATTCTTGAGAAGAATTGTGCCTTTCTCTTCTTTTTGTGAAGAGAAATGTGGCTACAGGGAAGGATCCAGGGAGGTCCTTCCAGTGCCTGGAGGGGCTCCAGGAGAGCTGGACAGGGATTTTGGACAAGGGATGGAGGGACAGGACCCAGGGAATGGCTCCCACTGCCAGAGGGCAGGGATGGTTGGAATGTTGGGAATTAGGAATTGTTCCCTGTGAGGGTGGGCAGGCCCTGGCACAGAGCAGCTGTGGCTGCCCCTGGATCCCTGTGAGTGTCCAAGGCCAGGCTGGAAGCACCCTGGGATAGTGGGACATGCCCCTGCCCACAGCAGGGGGTGGATCAGGATGATTTTAAGGTTCCTTTTAACCCAAACCAGTCTGAGATTCCATGACTGAGCATCTCATCAAGGCCAGCATCACCCCCAGCTCCCTGGAGCATCGCTGTACCCAGCTCCATCCTCTGCCCATGAGGAACTATTACCCAGAGCCTGCACAGAGCCTGGCTCCAGAGCTGCCCTCATGCCTATTTCCCACCCTGAGGGAGAAAATATTTGTTAATTAAAATCACCAAACCCCAAAACTCCCCCCAGGGGCTGCCAGGGCTGTGGGCAGGGGGTGCAGGGCTCTGGGCAGGGGTGCAGGGCTGTGCAGCTGGGTGGAGGCAGGACCTGCCTCCCACATCAGTGATACTCTGGCAGGAAAACACGATTTTCCTGCTTGGCTGTGGCCTGGGCATTCCTGGGCTGAGCCCCAAGTCCTGTCCATGCTTGGGATGGTGAGAAATTTCCTGAGGAAGGCGGTGCCAGAGCTGAAACCTACTCGAAATCAGGTGTTTTAGTGGGCATTTTAGACTCTGCCCAATTTCTAAATGCTTCTTTCACTCCTGGGAACTCTGGGGAGCCTCAATTTTGCCTCAGTTTTGCCAGAGCTGCTGTAATAGGGTGAGATCTGGAGCCTGGGTTTCACTGAGGGTTTCCACCCCCCCATATTGGATTAAATTTCCTGAAAAACTGCTCTTTTTATTTTTATTTTGTGCTGGGGGTGTCTGAGCTCGTTGGGCTGAATGTGCCCCCTCCTTTATGTGGGGCTGGGTGCTGTGACCCCTCAATTCCACCTCATTTCTGGGTGAGCTCAGCACCCCAGAACTCTCTGTGCTGGCTGGAGCAGCAGCTGTGAGCAAAACCAGCTCTGGATAAAAGAGGAATTGATCTCCTGCTAAGAAACCTCCAATTTTCATCTCTAATTCCCCTCCCACCTGCTGGGTGCTGCTGAGGGACACAGGGGAGGTGTGAGCCCCTCCACCACCCCCTCTGCCAGCCAGAAAATCCTCTCCTCCCTCTCCTTGTCCTCAGCATGTGATGGAAAAGCCTTCCCAAGTGGGCAGTGGCCAGGGAGGGCTCAGTGCTGCATTCCTCCAGCCTGGATTTGTCTGTGACTTTGTTCTTCCTGCCTCTCTCTGCTCCTGGGAGCTCCAGGATCCTGTTTCATATTCCATGAAGGCTCTTTTGTTGTTGGAAAGCACTTTAGCTTGTTGGTTGTTTTTTTTTTCCTCCCCTAAATTAGAGGCTCTGTTTCTGCCTCTGGTTGTGATTGGTGTGGGAATTTTCAGCTCCCTGTCTCAGGCTGTGTTTGTGGAACAGCAGCTCCTCTGTGGGGACTGGGGATGTGCAGCTCTGTTCCTCACACAGACGGGGTCAGCCTGGTGTCCCTGGAGCCCCTGGCTGCTCCAAAACTGTCCCTTGGCCAGTCTGGTGCCACCTGGGGCTGGGCAGTGCCCACCCAAGGGCTCCTGCCCCTTGTTCCAGGATGGTTTGAATTTAAAGGGACCTTAAATCCCATCCAGTGCCACCCCTGCCATGGCAGGGACACCTCCCACTGTCCCAGGCTGCTCCCAGCCCTGTCCAGCCTGGCCTTGGGCACTGCCAGGGATCCAGGGGCAGCCCCAGCTGCTCTGGGCACCCTGTGCCAGGGCCTGCCCACCCTCACAGGGAACAATTCCTAATTCCCAATATCCCATCCATCCCTGCCCTCTGGCAGTGGGAGCCATTCCCTGGGTCCTGTCCCTCCAGGTCCTTAACCTCACATTAATGAAGGAAACTCATTACATTTGCCCTGGGAAGTGGCACAGGGGCTTCTTGCACCAGCCCTGCCTGGACAGGCACAGGGCTGGGGACAGACTCAGGGATGTCCCCAGGCTCAGCCTGGAGTGAGTGACCTTGGGAAGGGCTCCTGGGAGGCAAATCCTGCCCCAGGCCTGGCAGGGACAGGAGGTGAGGATTGTCCCACCTGGGAGGGGATCTGAGCTCCATGGATGGAGCAGCTCCAACCCCTGGAAGCTCAGCCCAGCTCTGGCTCCCACCAAAGACTGAGAAAAGAGCAGATTTTACTTTCTCAGTGGTTTTTTCCCCTGATTATTAAGCTGCCCCTTAGCAAAAGCTGCTTAGGCTTGGAGTTAATTGTAATCCCCTTAGAAAAGTCTGTATGCACTGGGAAAGCTCTGCTCACTGCCCTGGGCTGTCCCTCCTGGACACCTGGACATGTCCCCAGCCCTGCCAGGTGCTGTGGGACAGGTGTCAGCAGTGTCCCCAGCCCTGCCAGGTGCTGTGGATGTGTCACCAGTGTCCCCAGCCCTGCCAGGTGCTGTGGAAGGTGTCACCAGTGTCCCCTGCCCTGCCAGGTGCTGTGGAAGGTGTCAGCAGTGTCCCCAGCCCTGCCAGGTGCTGTGGGACAGGTGTCAGCAGTGTCCCCAGCCCTGCCAGGTGCTGTGGAAGGTGTCACCAGTGTCCCCTGCCCTGCCAGGTGCTGTGGATGTGTCAGCAGTGTCCCCAGCCCTGCCAGGTGCTGTGGATATGTCAGCAGTGCAGGGATGATCCCCTGGAGGCTCCCAGCAGGCTCAGATCCCCTCCTGATCCCTTCCTCGGGGCATGGGGAGGGGAGCTGGGCTGGAGGGTTCTCTCCCAGGGATGTTTCCCTGTCTGGCAGGGACCTGCAGGGCCCTGACAGGCTGGGACAAGGCAGGGGACATGTGGCACAGCTCCTGGGCTGTGCTGCCTGCCTGCTGTCCCCATCTCCTCGCTGTCCCCAGCCCTGCCCCTCCTGCTGGGGGGCTGTGGCACCCGAGCCCCCCTCGTGCTGCAGTGACTCAACCCCGGGGACAGCCCGGCCCTGACTCACTCCTGAGGCCTCTTGGCCACTTTCCTCTTCCTCCCAAGCCTCACTGCTCCCTACAGGGCCCCTCTTCCTCCAGCCCCCCCAGCTGCCCATCCCGCAGTGCTGGGGCTCACTGGGTGCTCTGTGGGGTTGGGGGTCACTGAGCCCCCCATCGTGGTGAGCCCCTGCTCCTGCTGTGCCTTTGGAGCTCACTGAGCCCCCAGGTCCCCATGCACCATTTGGGGTCACTGAGTCCCCATTTCCCCGTGCACCATTTGGGGGTCACTGAGCCCCCATTTCCCCATGCAGAATTTGGGGTCATTGTGCCCCCATTTCCCTGTGCACCCTTTGGGGTCACTGTGCCCCCAAGTCCCCATGCAGAATTTGGGGTCACTGAGCTCCCTTTTCCCCATGCAGAATTTGGGGTCACTGTGCCCCCAAGTCCCCATGCAGAATTTGGGGTCACTGAGCTCCCTTTTCCCCATGCAGAATTTGGGGTCACTGTGCCCCCAAGTCCCTGTGCACCATTTGTGGTCACTTAGCCTCCATTTCCCTGTGCACCTTTTGGGGTCACTGTGCCCCCAAGTCCCCATGCAGAATTTGGGGTCACTGAGCCCCCAAGTCCCCATGCAGAATTTGGGGTCACTGAGCCCCCATTTCCCCATGCACCATTTGGGGTCCCTGAGCCCCCATTTCCCTGTGCACCCTTTGAGGTCCCTGAGCCCCCATTTCCCCATGCACCCTTTGGGGTCACTGAGCCCCCATTTCCCCGTGCACCATTTGGGGTCACTGAGCCCCCATTTCCCTGTGCACCACTTGGGGTCACTGAGCCCCCATTCTACCCAGGCTCCCTGCCCTCAGGATGGCTCTGGAGGGGATCACTCTGGATGTATCAGGAGCCCCCCACCCTGTCAGGGGCAGTGCCTTGGGCCAGCATCCCCAGTCCTGGTGACAGCCCTGGGGGCTTGCACGGGTCCGGGGCTGTGGGGAAGCACACAGAGGTGGGCTGGGGGCGCTGGGCTGCCCCTCACTCCCAATTCCAGGCTGCTGAGCCGTGTCCCCTCCTCAGGGATCTCGGAGGACTCCAGAGTGGAGGCTCCCGCCTTCACGGACGCCATCCGCATGTACCGGCAGTCCAAGGAGCAGTACGGCACCTGGGACATGCTCTGCGGGAACGAGACCCAGGTGAGCCCCGCACCCCCAAACCGGGCTCAGAGAGCTGGGAGGGGCTCAGCAGGCTCCCCAAAAACCTCCTGCCTCCACAGGTCCTGAGCAACCTGGTGATGGAGGAGCTGCTCCCCGAGCTGAGGAGCACCATCGGCCCCCGGCTGAAGGGCAAAGCCCCAGAGCGCCAGCGGACCTGGATCCAGGTGTGGGGCTGGGGCTGCCGGGGGGGTCCCCAGCGTCCCTGCCCTCCCCTGCCCACAGAGCCGGCTTGGGGAGCCTCCTTTCACCCATGGGCTCGATACCCACCTCCTTGCCCAGCTGGATTCGATGCCCACCTCCCTTCCCCGCAGGGTTCTGTGCCCACCTCCCTTCCCCATAGGGTTCTGTGCCCATTTCCCTTCCCCGCTGGGTTCTGTGCCCACCTCCCTTCCCCACAGGGTTCTGTGCCCATCTCCCTTCCCCGCTGGGTTCTGTGCCCACCTCCCTTCCCCGCTGGGCTCGGTGCCCACCGGCTTCGCTGCCCCCTTCTCCCGGCCCCTTCCAAAGAATCCGTGCTTTCTCCAGAGTGGATTTTTCAAGCTCCTTGAGTGCCCCTGCCCAGCCCTGCCCAGCCCCGCCTGGGGCCAGCCGAGCAAACAGGAGGAAGCCCAGCCCTGGAGCGAAGCCTGTCCCGGCTAAATTTAGCGAGCCATTTTTAGAACAGCGCGGGCTAAATCCAGCCCAAACCCTTGCGAAAGACTGAGGGCTCTTCAGAGCTGCCTGTTAAAACCTTAAACCCCGATAATTACCACCAGGCTCGTAATGGGCCACTTGAGCGGCCTGAAAACACACAAACGCTGCTTTTCCAATAGCTGCTGTGGCTGGGAAGGAGGGAGGAGGGGAGGGCTCTGCATCCTGCCAGCCCCAAAATCCCAGCCTTTGGCTCAAAGTGAGCGTGAAGCCTCAGCGAGCGACTCCATCCTGCTCAGGAGGTTGGCTCTGGGAGCCCAGGGAGGGTGAACAGGGCAGGGAACAGATTTTGGGGTGGGCTGGGGCTCTCCTGCTTGGACCACCACTGTCCCTGGAACACCAGCATCCCCAGAGCTGCAGCATTTCCAGACATGCAGCATCCCCAGAGCTGCAGCATTTCCAGAGCTGCAGCATCCCCAGAGCTGCAGCATCCCCAGACCTGCAGCATCCCCAGACCTGCAGCATTTCCAGACATGCAGCATCCCCAGAGCTGCAGCATTTCCAGACATGCAGCATCCCCAGGGCTGCAGCATTTCCAGAGCTGCAGCATCCCCAGACCTGCAGCATCCCCAGAGCTGCAGCATTTCCAGAGCTGCAGCATTTCCAGAGCTGCAGTATCCCCAGAGCTGCAGCATTTCCAAACCTGCAGCATCCCTAGCCCTACCTGGGGCAGGTTGCCTGATTGAGGCAGTGCTCACCTCTCTGCCCCTCCAGCACCACCTGGAAGCAATTTCTGCACTGCAGGAGCTCCATCTCACCCTGCTGGGGGGTCCCTGGTGTGGCAGCCCCTGGCAGGCTGAGGGGAAGGGTCCTGTCAGGGCACAGGGGATGCTGGAGCTGCAGGCACTGTTTGGGGTGCAGCTGGAGGGTCTCTGACCCCCCCTGTGCCCCCAGGTGTCAGATGCTGTCTATAGGATGGTCTATGAGCTGGCCAAGGTGCAGTACGATGCAGCTGTGGCCAGGTGTGAGCAGGAGCGGCCGCAGCTGGAGAGCACCATCCGCACAGACATGGACCAGATCATCACCTCCAAGGAGCACCTGGCCAGCAAGATCCGAGGTACAGGGATGCCCTGGCACGTGTGGGTGTGCCCATGGCTCCTGGGGGGCTGTCCCTGGGGTGCAGCACAGCCCCTGGCACCCTTAGGGGGGTGCACGTCCCAGGGGACTGGGGGACAAGGTGGGCAGTCACCCCTATAGTGAAACAAGGTGACCCCTGGGGCAGGGAATGATTGGCATCTGACTCTATTGATTCAGAATGCTGAACATTCACTTTATTTAAACTATATTATATTACATTATAACTACATTAAAGAGAGATTACATTACATTACATTACATTATATTATATTAAATTACATTATATTATATTATATTACATTACATTACATTATATTATAATCATACTTACTACTAACTGAAAAACTCATGACTGTCTGCAGACTGACAGTCCACACAGCTTGGACTTGATATGCTAATTAACATAATCTCCACCAGAATCTAATTACCAAATTCCTTCAGGTAAATAATCTTCCCACCACGTTCTGCATGTGCAAAACAGTAAGAGCAGCAAGCAGAGATAAAAGTTGTTTTCTCTCTGTGCTTCTCCAGGAAAAAACCTGAGAGAGAGAATTATATCTCTGTTCAGAGAATGTGAATGCCACAACCCCCTGGCATGGCAGTGGGTGGTTCAGGACAGACCAGGGGCACCCTGCAGGAGTTCCTTGTGTTGTTGTGAAAGGGGAGACTCCTCCTGCAGGGGTTTGGAAGCAGAGGCAGCTCCTCCTCGTTGCTGGGGTGGGTTTAGGATGTGATGTGAAGGGCTGGAAGGACAGAGGAGCCTCACCATCCCCATCCCTGCTCTTTCCCAGCCTTTGTCCTGCCCAAGGCAGAGGTCTGTGTCCGTAACCACGTCCAGCCCTACATCTCCTCCATCCTGGAGGCCCTGATGACCCCCACGAGCCAGGGCTTTGCTGAGGCACGGGAGGTGTTCTTCAAGGAGGTCACCGACATGAACATGAACGTTGTCAACGAGGGTGGCCTGGAGAAGCTGGTGGAGGTGAGACCTGGTGGTGCTCCTTGCCAGCTCAGGGGTGACAGGGCCAGTCCTGCTTCCACCCCCAGGGTGGACAGCACTGGGAGAGCCCAGGCTGAGGAGAGTCCACCCATGTGGGGTGGAATGTCCCTGCCCTGAGTACGTGGAGAGGCTGAGCTTGGCTTTGTCCCCAGTACATGGAGAAGCTCTCCCACCTGGCCTTCCACCCCGTGAAGATGCAGTCGTGCTATGAGAAGATGGAGCAGCTGAAACTGGAGGGTCTGCAGCAGCGATTCGATGTCTCCAGCACGTCTGTCTTCAAGCAGAGGGCCCAGATCTACATGAGACAGGTGGGATGGGGACCAGGGTCCTCCCCAGTCCCCCTGGGCTGGGAACAGAGCTTTGGGGAGCCCAGGCTGGTCCAGGCTGGGATGTCTGTGCTGTCTCTTTGGTCTGGAGCCCATGGTGGGCTTGGGCATCCCAGCACAGCTGCCCCTTTGCCACAGAGGCCACTGGCACCAGCAAGGCCAGTGAGCCAATTCTGGGGTCTGATCCAGCCTAACCTGATGTGGAGTGTAGGGGATGAGGGGGTGCAACACCAGCTCTGAGCAACCTCCTCTCCCAGTGCCTTGATCCTGGGGGTGAGGGCTGTGGATGCCACGCTGGGAGGTCAGGGATTTGTGCAGAGTGAAGGCTCATTGCCTGTTGGGTATTGGGAAGGAATTCTTCCCTGGCACAGGGTGCCCAGGGCAGCTGTGGCCTCCCCTGGATCCCTGGCAGTGCCCAAGGCCAGGCTGGACAGGGCTGGGAGCAGCCTGGGACAGTGGGAGGTGTCCCTGCCATGGCAGGGGTGGCACTGGATGATTTTAGGGTCCCTGCTCACCCTTTGGGTGCCCCCCACGCTGACCATGTGTCTCTGGCCACAGCAAATGGACGATGCTGTGTACACCTTCGAGAGCCTGCTGCACCAGGAGCTGGGCAAGCTGCAGGGCAAGGACGAGCTCTGCAAATCCATCCAGCGCATCCTCGAGAGGGTGCTCAAGGTGAGCTGAAAGAGGAGCTCTTCTGAGCCAGGTCTTACAAGCTTTTGGAGGTCTATTTCACACCCAAGATAGCTCAGCTACCGTTGGAGGCATAAAATGAGCAGGATGGCTTCTGTTGCAGTGTTGAAAACAAAAAGGTTTAAATAAAAGGCAAAATAGCAAACTCTTTATAGAGAAAAACCGATCTAGGTGCAAGAGGTTCTTGCTCTTGGTAAAACACCTCACAAAAGCCATTAGGTTTTTTGTTCTCTTCTTTTTCTAATAAATTGCCCAGGTGGGACTTTTGGGCTCCTGTCCAATTGGCTGTCCTTAAGTTTGAGGTGAAGTCCCCCAGGCCTGTGAGATGCCTTTTTCACCTAATCGAGGAGAGAAACTTCTGGGCTTCTTTCCTTTTTAAGGGGACAAGGGAGAGTTTTGTCACTCTGTCAACAAGGGGCACATTCCTACATTGAGCCAGGGGGTCAGGCCTTTGGTGGCCTTTGGTGGCCTTTGGTGGCCTTTGGTGGCCTTGTTCCAGGACCAGGGAAGAGGCTAGCAGTGATGTTACCCATTTCAAGTCTTTTGGGGGTTTCATGGATTTTGCTGGAGGAGCCAGGTCCCCTCTGAGCATATCTGTAAAAGCTCCCCAGGGTTCAGACTGGCCCCCAAACCCTCCTGCAGCCAGCAGTGCAAGAGTTGGCTCGTACCCAGGCTCAGAAACACTGGGAAACAGCTGCAGAGAGGGATGTGAGGCCAGAGGGGTCTGTGTGAATGGACTGGGGGGAAAGTCTCAGGGGTTTGTGCCTGTGGAGAGGGGCAGCCAGCCCACAGCCCTGGGTGACCTAGGACACCCTCTCACCCTGCAGAAATTCGACTATGACAGCAGCACCGTGAGGAAGAAGTTCTTCAGGGAGGCCCTGCTGCAGATCACCATCCCCTTCCTGTTGAAAAAGCTGGCACCCACCTGCAAGGGGGTAAGAAGGGAAGGTTTGGGGTGCAGGGAAGGACTGTCCACTCCCATGGAGGGGCTGGAGCATCCATTCCCCCCAACCTGCTGGGCTGAGCCACCTCTCCTCTGGCAGGAATTAGCCAAGTTTCAGGAGCTGATCTTCGAGGACTTTGCCAGCTTCATCCTGGTGGAGAACACCTACGAGGAGGTGGTGCTGCAGTCAGTGATGAAAGACATCATGCAAGGTAGGCTCCTGTGGCACCTGCTGAGGAGGGGGTGACCCCTGCAGGCTCCTGTGGCACCTGGAGAGGAGGGGGTGACCTCTGCAGGGTGCTGGGGGCTGTGTGAGGAGGGGGTGACCCCATGTAGGGTGCTGGGAGCTGAATGAGGGACCCTCTATGTGACCCTCTGCAGGGTGCTGGGGGGTCTCTGAGGAGGGGTGATTCCATTCAGGGGATCAGCTCAGGGCTGTATGAGGTGGAGTGACCCCAAGCAGGGTGCTGGGGACTCTGTAAGGAGGGGTGAGCCCCTGCAGGGTGCTGGGGGCTGTATGAGGAAGGGGTGACCCCATGCAGGGGCTGGGGGCTGTATGAGGAGACCCTCTATGTGACCCTGTGCAGGGTGCTGGGGGGTCTCTGAGGAGGGGTGATTCCATTCAGGGAACCAGCTTAGGGCTGTACAAGGTGGGGTGACCCCAAGCAGGGTGCTGGGGACTCTAAGGAGCGGTGACCCTGTGCAGGTTGCTGGGGACTCTATAAGGAGAGGTGACCCCATACAGGGTGTTGGGGACTCTGTAAGGAGCAGTGACACTATACAGGGTGCTGCAGACTCTATAAGGAGGGATGGCCCTGTGCAGGTTGCTGGGGTCTCTGTAAGGAGGGGTGACCCCATACAGGGTGCTGGGGACTCTGTAAGGAGGGGTGACCCCATACAGGGTGCTGGGGACTCTGTAAGGAGGGGTGACCCCATACAGGGTGTTGGGGACTCTGTAAGGAGGGTGACCCCATACAGGGTGTTGGGGGCTGCCTCAGAAGCAGCTTTCCCACCTGGCTGCCCCCCTGGCAGGGCTGAGCAGTGGGTGGGATGCTGCCCCTCCTGCCCAGCTCCAGCCACCTCTCCCACCACCCCCGGGGAGGACTGGGCGAGGTGCCCCAGCCTGGCAGCGCCCGCAGCCCCCCTGAGCTGTCCCTCCCTGTCCCCAGCTGTGAAGGAGGCGGCCGTGCAGAGGAAGCACAACCTGTACAGGGACAGCATGGTGATGCACAACAGCGATCCCAACCTGCACCTGCTGGGAGAGGGCCTGCCCATCGACTGGAGCGAGGAGTACAGCGAGGAGCCCGCGGCCGAGCGGCGCCGCAGGGCCAAGCAGGTGGTGTCGGTCATCCAGGACGACGAGGGGGCCCTGCCCTATGGGGCTGAGGCCCTGCTGCAGCCCGGCTCCCCCGAGGCAGGGCAGGCAGAGCAGGCACAGCCCGGGGTGCCCCCGAGCCCCCCGGATGCGGTGCAGGGGATCCGGGAGGCGCTGGCACAGGAGAGCCTGGGGGACGGTGCCAGGCTGGAGGAGCGGCTGATGAACGGCACCGAGGGCAGCGGGGCCAGCCAGGAGGGCGTGCTGCTGGCAGGGGCTGCCCCAGGGGCTGCCACACAGCAGGGCCCAGCCCTGCATGGGGACGGGGTGTGCTGTGCCACAGCGGCAGCACCGGCACCTGGAGCTGAGGTGTCATCAGGAACGGGCAGAGAACGCATCACACCAGCATCCTCACCTGTCCCTGGAGCTGAGATCCCATCAGGAACAGGGAGAGAACATGTCACACCAGCATCCTCACCTGTGTCTGGAGCTGAGGTGTCATCAGGAATGGGCAGAGAACAGGTCACACCAGCATCCTCACCTGTGTCTGGAGCTGAGGTGTCATCAGGAATGGGCAGAGAACAGGTCACACCAGCATCCTCACCTGTGTCTGGAGCTGAGGTGTCATCAGGAATGGGCAGAGAACAGGTCACACCAGCATCCTCACCTGTGTCTGGAGCTGAGGTGTCATCAGGAACAGGGAGAGAACGCGTCACACCAGCATCCTCACCTGTGTCTGGAGCTGAGATCCCATCAGGAACGGGCAGAGAACATGTCACACCAGCATCCTCACCTGTGTCTGGAGCTGAGGTGTCATCAGGAACAGGGAGAGAACGCGTCACACCAGCATCCTCACCTGTGTCTGGAGCTGAGATCCCATCAGGAACAGGGAGAGAACGCGTCACACCAGCATCCTCACCTGTCCCTGGAGCTGAGGTGTCATCAGGAACGGGCAGAGAACATGTCACACCAGCATCCTCACCTGTCCCTGGAGCTGAGGTCCCATCAGGAGCTGGGACACGCCGGGCTGCACCAGCACCGCCTGTGCCTAGAGCTGAGGTGTCAGCAGGGGGGCAGTGTGCCACACCAGCACTGTCACCTGTCCCTGGAGCTGAGGTCCCATCAGGGACTGGGAGACAACATCCTGCACCAGCATCACCTGTGTCCAGAGCTGATGTCCCATCAGAGGCTGAGGTGCCCCATGTCACACCAAGATCATCCGTGCCAGCTTCCCCCGTGTCTGCAGCTGATGTCCCATCAGAGGCTGAGGTGCCCCATGTCACACCAAGGTCATCCGTGCCAGCGTCCCCCGTGCCCAGAGCTGATGTCCCATCAGTGCCCAGCGTGCCGCAGGGCACGGCAGCCCCGGCCAGCCCCCGAGCCGATGTCCCAGCAGAGGCCGAGGTGCCCCGTGTCACAGCAGCACCACCCAAAGGGCAGAGCCCATCAGCAGCGTGTCACCAGCGTGGTGACAAGGAGCCAGGCGAGCCCAGGGCCACCGCAGAGAGCAGTGAGGGGGTGCAGACTGAGTTCTAGCCCCAGCCCCTGCCATGGACTGGCCCCGGTGACACTGGGGCTGGGGGAGGGGGACAGGAGCCCCGGGATGGAGAGCAGCACTGCGGGAGAGGGAGGGGATGGGGACACCCAGACCTTACTGCCTAAGGGGGTCCCACTGCCACAGCCCCACTGGGTCCGACTGGGGTGGCCCCAGCCTGGCTTGGGGCATCCCCTGCGCTCTGCTCTGTCCTTCTTCTGCCTTATTTTCTTTCCTGCTGAGGAGATGCTTTACTGAAGAGCTTTATCTGCCCCCCACACCAGTGCCTAGGGCTGCTGGGGGGGCTGGCACTAGCCCTGCTGAGGGTGGGTGTGTGGGACACTCCTGGCTGTCCCCACGGCTGTCCCTGCCCCAATCTGGAGCACTTCCTGGGAGCCTGCCCACTGCCAACCCCACTGCCAGCTCCAGGAGTGCCAGTGGGAGCAGGGGCTGCAGATGACAAACAGGATGGCAAATGGGGACACAGCAGGGACAGCAACACTGGGGGGCTTGAGCCACTGCTGAGGGGAGAGCACCAGGACAGCTGTGGGTTGCTGGTGCCCAGGCTGGGCTCACAGCATCTAGGCCGGGCTCACAGCATCCAGGTCGGGCTTACAACATCCAGGTCGGGCTTACAGCATCCAGGCCGGGCTCACAGCATCCAGGTCGGGCTTACAACATCCAGGTCGGGCTCACAGCATCCAGGCCGGGCTCACAGCATCCAGGCCGGGCTCCTGGTACCCAGACTGGGCACACAGCACCCAGTGCCCACCCCCAGCCACCCTCACCCCTAGGAGCTATTCTAGGAGCTATTTTAAGTTCAGAGTTCAGTCTCTGGGGAAGGTGGCACTCAGGCCACCTGTGCCTGGCAGGACAGGAAAGGTGGCACTCAGGCCGTGTCCCAGCTGTGCCTGGCAGGACTGGGATAATTCCAGGCTCAGCTTGCTGTGCAGTGGAGAGATCCCAGATCTCCTCAGCACCTTCCATGGATGGCTTCTCCAGCTTTGCAGATTTTGGCATCTGCTGTGCTGGCTGAGCAAAGAGCAGGAGTTACTGACCCCTCTGTGTGTCATGGGGACAGGAGTGCTGCAGCCCCACACAGTGATGCCAAAAGCCCTGGAGGTGCTGGGGGTCTGCAGGACCCCTGGATGGGACACCTGGAGCAGGGACCAGCACCCCAACACCCACCTGTGCCTAGGTGCCACCATTGCTGCCTCAGAAGGGGGGTGCCCAGCCTAACCCACTCAGGGGAGCCCCCAAAGTGCCTTGGGAGGCCCCCCTCAAAGTGCCTTTCTCTGTGAACTTCAAACCTGTCTCTTTCAGGATATTTTATTAAGAAAGTTATACAAATGTTTAAAGATATGCTTATAATAATTAATAAAATGGAAAAGCTTTATTTAAAGCCAGAGGAGACTCTCCTTATTGCTGAAGCAACTCCCTGGATAGGGCCTGGGACCCCCAGTCCCACTGTGAGACCCAGGGGTGTCACATCCTGAGCCCACCCAGCAGTGACACAAACCAGGAGTGGAGCTGAGATGATTTTATTCAAAGGGGTGTCCTGAGGAAGCAGCAAGAGGCACCAGGAGCAGCATTTCCCCCCTGGCACAGCCACACCAGCAGCTCAGGGGCTGCTCCAGCCCCATCCCTGAAGCACAGGAGCGGGGTGGGGGTGGCAGGGCCCCCCAGTGTCCCCAAAGGCACTGTGTGAAGAGGGGGCAGCTCTGGGCAGGAGGGTCCCTGTCCCCAGCAAGTCACTGGGTCACTCCTGTTCCAGCCAGGAGGAACCTCCTTGAAAAGCAGGGAGGGGAGGAAATGCCAGCACCCCCCCCTGCTGTCACCACCCGGACAAAGGTCCCTGAGAGCCGGGGGACAGCCACCAGCCAAGGCCAGTGCTGGCCATGGGGCTCCCTGTCCCCAGAGCGGGGCCAGCCCTGAGGGGCCCCAGCAAGTCCTTGGGGTTCTGTGTCCCACAGAGCACAGGGACAGAGAGAGCCCCAGCAGAAGTGACAGCAGCTATTCCAGACAAAGGAGCAGGAGGTGGGACACGTGTGCCACCACCTCGGGGGGCTCTAGCCCCGGCCCAGCAGGGGATACACCATGAAGTAGCCCAGGGTGGAGCCTGCAATGGCCCCCAGGAAGATCCAGGCATTGTAGGACATGACTGCCAGCATCACCATATAGCCCAGCACCACCTGCAGCACGTGGAACAGAGTCTGGCCCACGTGGAACCAGAACCACCTGGGGAAGGAGAGGGGAAATGCCATCAATGTGGGGCTGGGACAGCTGGAATCACCTCCCACCAGGAGCCTGGAGAGCCCAGAGGGGGTTTGGGCAGCAGGGAGTGGGGTGGGGGCTACAAACAGCAGCTCAGGGGGAAATCCTGCTCCAAAATCAATGGGGCTGGCAGTAAGAGCAGCCTCAGGAATGATCTGGGATTAAATACAAGAGGAAAAACCCAGGGCTTGGCTCCAAAGGAAGAACTGCCAGGGCCAGGCTTGTGGGGACTGAGCTGCTGCTTGTGCCCATCCCCAAACCAGCAGGACCATCCTGCACCCTGCACAACCACTCCTGGAGGGGAACCTGAGCTTCTGGCCACCACCCTGGACACCTCCCAGAGGATCTGGAGGGGCTGGGCTGCCCCTGGAGCCCCCTCCCCAGGCTGTATGTACCCCCCCTTCCCTGGGAGCCCACAGCTCCTCCTCACAGCCCTTCTCCCCTCTGTGCTGGCCATGGCCCCAGATCCATCCCTGAGCCCCGGGGTGGGTGCCAGGGGCTGTACACGCCCCTCTTCTGTGGGAGCTCACAGCTCCTCTTCACAGCCATGGCCCCACAGAGCCATCCCTGACCTGCCAGGGGGGTGCCTGCCCTGCACAGGGTCTGGAGGGGCTGGGCTGCCCCAGGCTGTACACGCCCCTCATCCCTGGGAGGAGCTCACAGCCCTTGTCCCCTCTGTGCTGGCCATGGCCCCAGATCCATCCCTGAGCCCCGGGGTGGGTGTCTGGGGTCCCTGGGGTACCTGCCCTGCGCGGGGTCGCTCTGTTCCTCCTCCTGGGGCTCAGTCAGGGCCTCGTGGCTGAGGCTGCGGGGCAGTGCCAGCAGCGCCCGCCGCAGCAGCACGGCCTTGCCCATCTTCACGGCCTCATAGAGCACAGAGAGCAGCAGGATCACCAGCACCGAGAGCACCATCCCTGCAGGAGAGACAGCCCAACACTGCCATGCACGGGGAGAGCCTCTGGGGGTGACAGGGACACGGCAGGGCCCGGCACAGGGGGTTGGGAATAGCCATGAGTGATGGAGGGGGGGTCCTGGCACTGGGCTGGGCAGCAGGGTTGTTAAATGGCAGGAAATTGTGAGCTTAGTTTTTTAACTCACAGAATTAGGTTGGGAAAGCTCTCTGAGGCCATTAAGGCCAACCTGTGACCTCACCCAACAGCACCTTGTCACCCAGACCATGGCACTGAATGTCCCATCCAGTCCCTCCTCAAACCACTCCAGGGACAGTGACTCCTCCCTGGGCAGCCTCTTCCAATGAAGAATTTTTTCCTAAATTCTTAATTTAGGAAAATGGAAGAATAAACTAAGCCTAAACTTCTCCTGGCTCAGCTTAAGGCTGTGCCCTCTTGTCCTAGAGAGCTGCTGTGAAACAAATACACAGCTTTGCATTGACTCCAAAACAAACATGGGAGTTAAAATATGATCTTGGGAGAATAAACAAAACCAGAACAAAGAGTGAAAGTGGGAAGCTGAGCCATTCCTGAGTGCTCTGGGGGCTTCACACAGCTCCCTGCCTGCTGCTCTTGGCTTGGGAGGATCAACCCCGGCCTGGGGCATGCCCAGGGCACAGCACACATCAGCAGGGAGGGGCAGGTCCTGCCAAAAACTGCTCCAGGAGCCCACACGGCTCTGCAGTGAGGGGATGGAGGGATGGATGGATGGATGGATAGGGATGGAGAGATGGAGGGATGGGAGGGACAGGGATGGAGGCATGGAGGGATGGACAGGGGTTGAGGGACAGGGATGGAGGCATGGAGGGATGGATGGAAGGATGAAGGGATGGACAGGGATGGAGAGATGGATGGATGGATGGATGGACGGATGGATGGACAGGGATGGACAGAGATGGATGGATGATGGATGGATGGAAGGATAAAGGAACAGGGATGGAAGGATGGATGGAGGGATGGACAGGAATGGATGGAGGGATGGATGGATGGGACAGGGATGGAGAAATGGAGGGATGGATGGATGGATAGGGACGGATGGATGGATGGATGGAGGGATGGATGGATGGAGGGATGGATGGATGGATGGATGGGGTTGGATAGGGATGGATGGAGGGAGGGATAGGGACGGACGGATGGATGGATAGGGATGGATGGATGGATGATGGATGGATAGGGACGGACGGATGGGTGGATGGATAGGGACGGATGGATGGATGGAGGGATGTCCCAGTGCTGGCAGCCTACCTGTGGGGCTGTGGACACTCCAGAAGTCGAAGAGCAGCACTACTGTGTCCGAGAAGTAGAAGGTCATCTGGAAAAGAGGCCAGGGAAGGGCAGTGCAGGAGCCCCTCGGGGTGATGGGTGCCCACACTGCAGCAGCCCTGCACCCCCACCCTGGCATGCTCATCTGGGGATTCACCAAATGGTGCAAGTTTCTCTCCAGGTCTGAAACGGGAAGAGGAACTTGCACAGACAATCACAGTCACACTGACTGGGCTGAACTCTCCCTGTCAGCTCCAGCAGGACATTTCCATCCCCATGTCTGGGCTGTGACAAAAAGCCAGTTTACCACTGTGACAAAGAGAGACGAATCCAGGACTTCTCTTGAGGAGAGAAGGTCCCTGGGGACAGGTGGAGGCTGAGGGGAAGCTGGTGGGCAGATCCTCTGCTCCCCTCTGCCTCTCTCCCAGGGCAGAGAAACCTCCTGCACTGCCAGGACACCCAAAAACTCAACCACCAAGGCACCCAGAGCCACAAGTGTGACTACCCAACAATGG